TCAAAATAACCTTGCTTCAATTAGGACTTTTGAAGGTTGTAACGTGGTCTGGTTCATGGTTTTTAGAAAAAAGATTTTAAGGCTCAAAATATTTGGTGCCCACCCATTCTTCATGATGTTATCCAACCCTATGATCGGTTAATTCAACATGAGTGTTCATCTCTCAAAAGGATTTTGTGACGGTCAAGGAAACGACGAGGCTTTCGGAGTAGAAACCACCCTCATGTCTTCGTGTTTGTAGTCACCAATTTGTTCTTTGCTGAGGACTTTTCTTTGTAGTCCTTTCTTTGCAATTTTTATTTTCCCTAATTTTTCCTGAACTAATTTTTTTGAATTGATAGTCCAGCGGGATGCCTTAATTTTGCCTAAGTCACACGTTTTCATTTTTTTTTGACTTAGCAGGCTTTTCTTTTTTCTTGATTTTTTTAGTTTTTGAACAAAATGTGTGACATTAGCTTGTCTTTGCTTGTTGAGAGGATTGTGATTGCCTCGTTTCTTGATGAATGAGGGACAACATTGTGATTCCACATCTTCTGGCTTTATTATACATGAAAGATAGCCCTCGTAGTTTCTCTTCAGAAATATCTTCCTAATGAATTGAACACTCAATCAAATTAACTGAAAACTACCCTGCCCCAGGTTAAAAGTTAAGGGTTTTTTCGTATAGAAAAGAAACTTCTACTTCAAAGGCTCAAAAGGGGTTAGCAAGGGATTATCTTCCTTATATCTCCAGTGTTTAGGGATTTGAAACAATGCATGTACATCATCAGCAAGATTTTATCCAAAAGCAAACAACCAGAGATTTTGTGTTCTTTAGATCATCATCCTCCCTTCAATCTCTGCCTAGGCAAGAGAATGGGCAACAAGTTGGTATCATAATGCAAAAAGAAATTTAAAATTTGAAAACAAATACGAGTGAAACGAATGAATTTCTTCAAGACAAACATACCCATTGTATTAAGATAATCATTCAGATGCAAACAAGTTCTTACATGCAAATAATGTTTTGATAAACAAGAAAAATTACAAAAATCATAAATAAGTTAATAATCTGGGAAGGCTTTCCATCTGGACTTGAATTACCAAAAACATCCTTCAAAAATCAAAGTGACCATCAATTGTGTTTACTCTTCGACACATGCTTGATTTGAACTTCAAAACCAACGTCCTTGAATGACAAGATACCACTTCTTACCAACTTCTGAACCTCGATCTTCAAATCAAAGTAACCCTCCAAGTCATGCCCAGGAGCACCTTGATGAAAGGTACATGTCAAATCAGCTTTGTAGTACCAATGTATCTTCTCAGGAACCTTCGGTGGAGGTCGGGTCTGAACCAAATTCCTCTACATCAGGATAGGGAACAACTCTGTATAGGTGATTGGAATTGGATCAAACTGGGTTTTCCTCTGATTAAGAACTTGCTGATTTTGTTGATGAATAGGAGGAACATGATGATTTTGACGATGAATATTTCTTCCTATGGTCCTCTTCTTGGAAAAGTTATTATCAAACTTCTTCACACCATTAGCTGAGCTACCATCTTCATATGAACATCCCTTCCCAACATCTTCTTCTAGACGCACTCCCACATTCACCTTGTCAGGAAAGTCATTAGGTGCATTAACCATCACCTTCTCATGAGAGAATGATTTTAGAGTTTCAGTGAATACTTTTATCATCGCTTCCTCCCTCCTAGAAGGATTGACTTGGGCGGCAACCAGAATTTCAACCAAACCAGTTAAGTGCTCCATACTAGCTTTCAAAATAGTCATCTCTCTACGGAGTTCAGAAACCTTTTGCTTGATATTCTCCATTGTCCTCTTAGCGCGAGTGTTGTACTGGTGAGACCAAAGGAAAAAATTAAGGCTTGTAAATGACCTTTGAAAGTGAAACAAGAAAATGTAGAATGATGCATGATATGCAAAAGAGAGTTTTTATTTGACTTTCAAGGAACTCGAGATATTAAGTTGTAAACATCAAAGTATGAAGATAGAAGATGAATTTTAAACTGGCTCCAAACATTGATCAAGTTATCATCAAGATCAATCATCCATTTTGGTGGATTAGGGTTTTCGCCCTATCAACACCCAAGATCCATTGAGCTTGACGAAACTTGTGATGTTTACAAAGAAAGACCTCCAAATTCCTTCAAAGCCAAGTGAAAAGGGTTTTATGGATGTATGAATGCATGGATATGCAACAACCGCAAGCAAGGTCACAAATAAAGTCGAAAGGTTCAACGTCACGAGCATGAAGTCAAGGGTAAAGAACATCCCCAAGGTATGTACTAACAGTTTAATCACACCTGTAGAACAAGGTTCTAAGAGTTCCCGAAGTCTACATTCCTCCTTCGGATATTACCAACGTCTTGATTACTCAATAATCAGCAATATTCTCAAGAGAAACTCATCCGAGCGTAGCATCGCGTAACAATTACTTCTGGATTACTCCGTTATAATCTCCGCGCTACACCTAAAAGGCCAAGATGGGTTAGGGTTCTACGGTTCCCAGCTTCTCTGGCTCCCAGGTCGAAAATAATAATGTCTTCCCGATTACTCGGTAAACAAATATTACGTTCAAAAGGGCCTTCCACTGAGTGGGGGATCTCATGCCTCCTTCTTCGGGATTACTCCCTCAAAGTTAACATGACTATACCGCCCGTCCTATTCCTAAGTGTAACTTAGTCCGGGTATAGGACTTGTCCTTCGTAAATATTATCAACACCAAAATAATCATAATATATACATATAATCAAACAATCAAATAATGATAAAACAGATAAAACAAATTAGGCTTAACCCACTTAGGGATGGACCAGCAAGAGGTCAATCTGTCCCCAGCAGAGTCGCCAATTCTGTAGCGGTGAAAATCAGAGATCAAGCTATTAATTAACTTGACTCACAAAAAGCAAGAGTAGCCACCGCGCTTTATTATTTCCAAGGGAAAAGGGAAAAGAGCGAAATAAAACCCTAAAGTATGCAATGTAAATTAATATTTAAAAGTAATGAAAATACAATGCGTTTTTTAAAAGAGATCGAGAGTTCGGGGGTTGGTTATACAATGGGAAGGTACTAGCACCCAATGCATCTACGGTACTCCGCAGGAACCTTTTGAAATATCTGTTTTTTGGTTAAAATTGTTTGTTTAATCAAAATGGGTGTGGACGAGATTTTGAAGATACGACGACCTAGTGTCGAAGTTTTGACTTAAAAGGTGTGAGTTGTAAAATTCAGTTTTTTAGGAAAATTAACTTAAGTTTGGAAAAAATAGTAAATAAGCAAAAAATGAATGAGGGTATTCGCACGATTGTAGAAGATGTATTTGATGACATGAAGTCAGCTGAGTTGAAAGATTTCCCTTGGAGTTAAAACCACAGACGGATAAATAAGCTAAGAGTATATCAAACCTTAGGTGAAAATAATTCACAAGCCGACAACATCATCAAAAAACCTAATGTGAGATAATACTCCAAACATCATATAAAGCGCAAAGGCGGTGGATAAAGCTCATGGTGTCAGATAAGAATCCCTGCATCACAAGAGATATACCGACAAAATCTAACAGCACGGGAAACTTATGTGCGTCCGCACAATTTTCAGAAGTTAGTTGGAATTAAAAATAAAATCACAATGCCATGAAAATAATATCTACATAGACGGAATTTATTTACCAATGAAATGAGTAAAATATACAGTAAAAAGTATTATGTACCAGTATATATTTACAGTACCAAATATTAAATCAAAATAGTAAGGTAAAAAGGGAATAAAGAAAAAGTATAAATGCGCTATGCGAGACCGAACGCTTGAAACAGTTCTCGGAAACCTTCACAGTAAACAAACTTGTTAGTAGCATAAGAGATATAAAAATGAAATTGCAACAATTAAAACATGTGTTAGTAGTCACGAAGTATAAAAATAAAATCAAATGAAATTGCAACAATAACATGTGTTGGTAATAACAAAGTATAAATCGAAATGAAATTGCATGAATGCATATGAATAATTCAAAAAACCAAACAATCAATTATTCAAGTATTTCAATTCACAAATGAACTAAAACCAAAGAAACTCATGCTATTATTCAATCCAATATTCAAAACATGGAAAGTTGAGCTCAAAGCGAACTAAAGTCAATCTAACCAAATCCGGGAAGCAACAAAAATTCATCACAATTAACTAACCATTAGCATAAACATGCTATTGTTTAACCAACAACACTAATAGCTCAGCTCAGATATCTAGCACAAATTAATAACAAATAGGAATAACAATGTCATCACATCCATTTTTACACAATTGTTTCAAAACTCTACCATTTAAAAGAAAAGAAACACATCACCACTTCACTTTTCTTTTCTAATATTATCAATTCATTTGAACATCTCAAAAACCGATTCAAAAATCAAACACAACCAATCAAAATCATCATCAATTAGTGAAACAAGTATAAACCCCATTTATCTTCAACAGAGTTTCAACATTAATCCAATCATGTTAACAACAACACACCATATTAATTTCAATTCAACAATATTAATTAGAAAGAATAAAAGGAAAGTGAGTTTACCAAAAGGAAATGAGGTGTTGTTGTTGTTTGAACAATAATGAAGAGAGTGCTACTGCATGAAGAAATGCGCAACAACGGAGGTAGGCTTCAGCCGGAAGACGCGAGGCAAACATCAAAGTGAGGAAGCTGCGATATCAGCCGCGGAAGTAGTGGTGGACGGTGTCGGAATTTGTTGATGTTAGAAGCTGAGCAGATTGTTGGTTTTGTGTAGAAATGGGTAATGTAACGCTAAAAGGCATTGTTGCGTTATGGAGAAAACCATCACCCAATATTCACTTCCAAAATTCATTGTCTGTAAGAATTATTTGATAACAATGCAAAAAAGTCTACTTGGCAGCAAACATGACAAGTCTAACAAACTTCTAAAAAAAAGTTCCGGGCACACACATTATTACTGAGAAGACTTAGTGTTGTACTATATTGCAAAAATCAGTGGGCCGCTTCAGGTAGTTTCTCTTCTTTCTTGCCTCCGGAAAATAACTTGTATCCCCCATAGATGAGTACTGCCCAGCCAGTTAACGAGGCAATCACAAAATGTTCTTCCTTCCATTTTGAAGGACTCAAAGGGTCCTTCCAGATGTCAACTCTAGGGGTAGCATGGGGATCTGCAGCTCCGGCAAGGCCGCGGCGGTGGACGAGTTGAATCGGAGATTTGGAAGCGGACGCGGTGATACGGGTTAGAGATGCGGGTGATGGACAGTGGCGAGAGGAGGAAGGGTGTAGCTGTTGATGAGGATGATTTATAGAGGCTAAGAGCGAAGAGGTTTGTGGAGTAGGATGAACGATTTCTTCGTGGTGATAATTGGAAAGAATGTCACTGAACAGAATTAGAGAACTAGAGGAAAGATCGATAGTGGTTCAGAGGGAGGCCATCGCCGCTGCTGTTATGGATGCCGATGAGGGTTTGTTTTCGGTTTGGCTCAGATTTGATATTAGGAGAGGGTATAAGATGTTGTGGAATCGAGGGAAGACTGAGTTTATCAGTGATAATTTTGTTAATTGTAAGGGATTGAGGCATTGAAGCACAAAGATATAAATGGATTAAGAATGAGAAGTAAAGATAAGAGCCGAGTGAATGGAGGAGAGAGTGAAGTGTGAATAATGAATATACTGGAAGAGAGAGAAAAGTGTGTTTTGCTTTTTGTTTTTGTTGTATTTTTGGTGAGTTACAAAGAAAGAAAAAGTAGTTTTTATATAGACAGGTCAAAGAGGAAAATTCTGCTTCTTCTATCCGTTTACTATTTTTCTTTTTTTCTATCGATCCGCAACTCTTGCTTACAACCAGTGAGAGCAAAGCAAAGTGTAACAAACATTTTTTTATGACAGAAAAGCCCTTTAATGATAAAAATAACTTAAAAACCTAAAAGTATAAAATTAACTCAATTTAAAAAACAAATTATATTTATTTTTGAATATAAAAAATAGAGACACAAGATGACTAAAAACGGTAAAAAATGGACAAAAATCTATCCGAAAAAATGAAATGAACACATTAAAATAAACTACACGTCTCAAAGATAAATGAAAAAAATATTAAAATGATCAAAATCGAAATAAAATGAGAACAAAAATCAGGCTGAACAAACGTTTACGGTTAAAAATGAGACTTCAAACTGTATCAAAATAATAAATCGAGCATACCGTCATAATCTACGCGAAACACGGATTCATAAAATGATCAGTAAAAGGTGAAAACTTGAAATATTTTTCTCTCTATTTTTTCGCACAATATCGAATCGCTTTTAACAGTCTGTCTATAAAACCAAAATATTTTTATTATTGACATATAAATAACTTGGAGCAATGCAAGAAACGAGTAAAGAGATAAAAATGCATGAAGTGAAATGTCAGGTAAAGACGATGCAAACTTTGATTTAAACTGACTTTTTCTGGTCAACTTAAATACGACTAATGATGCAAAACGTGATGAATGAAGATATTTACTAATGATTGTGACCAAATAACAAAATATGATATGAAAGTGCGACTAAAACATATTAGGGGCGAAATTTAGGGTGCAACAGTTGTGCCTTGATGAATCAGTCTTCGAGAATCCATAATCAACCGTACTTTTGGCTTGGGAGACTCAAAACCTTAATTGAGGCGCGACACCTGATTCTCTTGATTCAGACCTGTCTCTGCACATGACACAAAAGAAAACATGAACATACACCTTTGTATGCGATTAGAAATTAGTGATACATAGGCTAAAAATGTTCAAAACACTTGACAATCTTCGCATAGTCAAAGCTCGAAGGTGAGAGATTAAAACCGACTGTATTTCGTGACCTTGACTTATCTTTAAAAATGAAAAAAATAAAAATAGGATCTTAGGTCAAAAATTGGGGTACAACATTGCTCTTTCAAAAAACAAAAATACTTTTCGCACTTACACTTTCAAACAAAGTTTTCAAACAAACACTTCATACACTCTTGAGGACAGATACAAGAGTTAAATCGATGTTTTCAAACTAACTTTTTCAAAACCCACAAACACAAGAAAAGTAAAACATTTTGAAAACATAGTGAGCAAGTACCTAAGAGCCCGTGGATAACCACGGATAGAAAGGGTGCTAACACCTTCCCTTTCTATAATCTACCTCCCGAACCGAGAAACATCTCGAAAAGGAATTTTGTTGTGCTTTTGTCCTTTCCTTGTTGGAGAAAATAAAAGACGGTGGCGACTCTTGCTTACCACGACATTTCGCGAACCAGCATTTCAAAACAATATGTTCTATTTCCACCGATCACATCCATCAAATGGTATCTCTTCGAGGTAGTTTTGCAAGAGAAGTTTGTTGTGAAATCTTTACAAGTGGTAGTCTCTTTATTTGAGATAGCTTGTATTTTTACCCTTTACAGGTGAAACAGCTTAGTTAAAGAAGAAACTAAGACCAGTTCAAGGCTTATAGTCAGGATTGAGGGGAAGTTTATCTGATTCTCCATCAAATGGTATCTCTTCGAGGAAGTTTTGCAAGAGAAGTTTGTTGTGAAATATTTATAAGTGGTAGTCTCTTTATTTGAGATAACTTGTATTTTTACACTTTCCAGGTGAAATATCTTGGTTAAAGAAGAAACTGGGACTAGTTTGTGGATTATAGTCAGGATCAAGGGGAAGTTTATCTGATTCTCCATTAAATGGTATCTCTTTGAGGAAGTTTTGCAAAAGAAGTTTGTTGTGAAATCTTTACAAGTGGTATTCTCTTTATTTGAGATAGCTTGTATTTTTATCCTTTCCAAGTGATATTGCTTGGTTAAAGAAGAAATTGAGACCAGTTCGTGGCTTATAGTCAGGATTGAGGGGAAGCTTATCTGATTCTCCATCAAATGGTATCTCTTCGAGGAAGTTTTGCAAGAGAAGTTTGTTGTGAAATATTTATAAGTGGTAGTCTCTTTATTTGAGATAACTTGTATTTTTACACTTTCCAGGTGAAATATCTTGGTTAAAGAAGAAATTGGGACTAGTTCGTGGATTATAGTCAGGATCAAGGGGAAGTTTATCTGATTCTCCATCAAATGGTATCTCTTTGAGGAAGTTTTGCAAGAGAAGTTTGTTGTGAAATCTTTACAAGTGGTATTCTCTTTATTTGAGATAGCTTGTATTTTTATCCTTTCCAAGTGATATTGCTTGGTTAAAGAAGAAATTGAGACCAGTTCGTGGCTTATAGTCAGGATCGAGGGGAAGTTTATCTGATTCTCCATCAAACGGTATCTCTTTGAGGAAGTTTTACAAGAGAAGTTTGTTGTGAAATCTTTATAATTGGCAGTCTCTTTATTTGAGATAGCTTGTATTTTTACCCTTTCCAGGTGAAATAGCTTGGTTAAAGAAGAAATTGAGACCAGTTTTTGGCTTATAGTCAGGATCGAGGGGAAGTTTATCTGATTCTTCATCAAATGGTATCTCGTCGAGGAAGTTTTGCAAGAGAAGTTTGTCGTGAAATCTTTACAAGTGGTAGTCTCTTTATCTGAGATAGCTTGTATTTTTACCCTTTCCAGGTGAAATATCTTGGTTAAAGAAGAAACTTAGACCAGTTCGTGGCTTATAGTCAGGATTGAGGGAAGGTTTATCTAATTCTCCATCAAATGGTATCTCTTCGAGAAAGTTTTGCAAGAGAAGTTTGTTGTGAAATATTTACAAGTGGTAGTATCTTTATTTGAGATAGCTTGTATTATTACGTTTTCCAGGTGAAATAGCTTGGTTAAATAAGAAACTGAGACCAGTTCATGGCTTATAGTCAGGATTAAGGGGAAGTTTATCTGATTCTTCATCAAATGGTATCTCGTCGAGGAAGTTTTTCAAGAGAAGTTTGTCGTGAAATCTTTACAAGTGGTAGTCTCTTTATCTGAGATAGATTGTATTTTTACCCTTTCCAGGTGAAATAACTTGGTTAAAGAAGAAACTGAGACCAGTTCGTGGCTTATAGTCAGGATCGAGGGGAAGTTTATCTGATTCTCCATCAAATGGTATCTCGTCGAGGAAGTTTTGCAAGAGAAGTTTATCGTGAAATATTTATAATTGGTAGTCTCTTTATCTGAGATAGGTTTCATTTTTACCCTTTCCAGGTGAAATAGCTTGGTTAAAGAAGAAACTGAGACCAGTTCGTGGCTTATAGTCAGGATCGAGGGGAAGTTTATCTGATTCTCCATCAAGTGGTATCTCTTCGAGGAAGCTTTTCAAGAGAACTTCATTGTTAAATGTTTATAATTAGTAGTCTCTTTATATGAGATAGCTTGTATGTTTACCCTTTCTAGGTGAAATAGCTTGGTTAAAGAAGAAACTAAGACCAATTTTTGGCTTATAGTAAGGATTAAGGGGAAGTTTATCTGATTCTCCATCAAATGGTATCTCTTCGAGAAAGTTTTGCAAGAGAAGATTGTTGTGAAATCTTTACAAGTGGTGGTCTATTTATTTGAGATAGCTTGTATTTTTACCCTTTCCAGGTTAAAAATCTTTGTTAAAGAAGAAACTGAGACCGGTTCGTGGCTTATAGTCAGGATCAAGGGGAAGTTTATCGTATTCTCCATCAAATGGTATCTCTTCGAGGAAGTTTTACAAGAGAAGTTCGTTGTGAAATCTTTACAAGTGGTAGTCTCTTTATCTGAGATAGCTTGTATTTCTACCCTTTCTAGTAGAAATAGCTTGGTTAAAGAAGAAACTGAGACCAGTTCATGGCTTATAGTCAGGATTGAGGGGAAGTTTATCTGATTCTCCATCAAATGGTATCTCTTCGAGGAAGTTTTGCAAGAGAAGTTTGTAGTGAAATCTTTACAAGTGGTAGTCTCTTTATTTGAGATAGCTTATATTTCTCCCTTTCCAGGTGAAATAACTTGATAAATAAGAAACTGAGACAAGTTCGTGGCTTATAGTCAGGATCGACGGGAAATTTATCTGATTCTCCATCAAATGGTATCTCTTCGAGGTAGTTTTGCAAGAGAACATTGTTGTGAAATCTTTACAAGTGGTAGTCTATTTATCTGAGATAGCTTGTATTTTTACACTTTCCAGGTGAAATATCTTGGTTAAAGAAGAAACTGAGACCAGTTTGTGGCTTATAATCAGGATTGAGGGGAACTTTATCTAATTCTTCATCAAATGATATCTCTTCATGAAAGTTTTGCAAGTGAAGTTTGCTGTGAAATATTTACAAGTGGTAGTCTCTTTATTTGAGATAGCTTGTATTTTAACCCTTTCTAGGTGAAATAGCTGGGTTAAAGAAGAAACTGAGACCAGTTCGTGGCTTATAGTCAGGATCGAGGGGAAGTTTATCTAATTCTCCATCAAATGATATCTCGTCGAGGAAGTTTTGCAAGAGAAGCTTGTCGTGAAATATTTATAATTGGTAGTCTCCTTATCTGAGATAGCTTGTATTTTTACCCCTTCCAGGTGAAATACCTTGGTTAAAGAAGAAACTGAGACCAGTTTGTGGCTTATAGTCAGGATCGAGGGGAAGTTTATCTGATTCTCCATCAAATGGTATCTCTTCTTGGAAGCTTTTCAAGAGAACTTTATTATGAAATCTTTATAATTGGTAGTCTCTTTATATGAGATAGCTTGAATTTTTACCCTTTCCAGGTGAAATATCTTGGTTAAAGAAGAAACTGAGACCAATTTTTGGCTTATAATCAGGATTGAGGGGAAGTTTATCTGATTCTCCATCAAATGGTATCTCTTCGAGGAAGTTTTGCAAGAGAAGATTGTTGTGAAATCTTTACAAGTGGTAGTCTATTTATTTGACATAGCTTGTATTTTTACCATTTACAGGTTAAATATCTTGGTTAAAGAAGAAATTGAGACCGGTTCGTGGCTTATAGTCAGGATCAAGGGGAAGTTTATCTGATTCTCCATCAAATGGTATCTCTTTGAGGAAGTTTTACAAGAAAAGTTTGTTGTGAAATCTTTACACGTGGTAGTCTCTTTATCTGAGATAGCTTGTATTTCTACCCTTTCCAGGTGAAATAGCTTGGTTAAAGAAGAAACTGAGACCAGTTCGTGGCTTATAGTCCGGATTGAGGGAAAGTTTATCTTATTCTCCATCAAATGATATCTCTTCGAGGAAGTTTTGCAAGAGAAGTTTGTAGTGAAATCTTTACAAGTGGTAGTCTCTTTATTTGAGATTGCTTATATTTCTCCCTCTCCAGGTGAAATAACTTGATAAATAAGAAACCTAGACAAGTTCGTGGCTTATAGTCTGGATCGATGGGAAATTTATCTGATTCTCTATCAAATGGTATCTCTTCGAGGTAGTTTTACAAGAGAAGATTGTTGTGAAATCTTTACAAGTGGTAGTCTATTTATTTGAGATAGCTTATATTTTTACCCTTTCCAGGTGAAATATCTTGGTTAAAGAAAAAATTGAGACCAATTTGTGGCTTATAGTCAGGATCAAGGGGAAGTTTATCTGATTCTCCATCAAATGGTATCTCTTCGAGGAAGTTTTACAAGAGAAGTTTGTTGTGAAATCTTTACAAGTTGTAGTCTCTATATCTGAGATAACTTGTATTTTTACCCTTTCCAGGTTAAATAGCTTGGTTAAAGAAGAAACTGAGACCAGTTCGTGGCTTATAGTCAGGATTGAGGGGATGTTTATCTGATTCTCCATCAAATGGTATCTCTTCGAGAAAGTTTTGCAAGAGAAGTTTGTTGTGAAATATTTACAAGTGGTAGTCTCTTTATTTGAGATAGCTTGTATTTTTACCCTTTCCAGGTGATATAGCGTAGTTAAAGAAGAAACTGAGACCAGTTCGTGGCTTATAGTCAGGACCGGGGGGAAGTTTATCTGATTCTTCATCAAATGGTATCTCGTCGAGAAAGGTTTGCAAGAGAAGTTTGTCGTGAAATCTTTACAAGTGGTAGTCTCTTTATTTTAGATAGCTTGTATTTTTACCCTTTCCAGGTGAAATAGCTTGGTTAAAGAAGAAACTTAGACCAGTCTGTGGCTTATAGTCAGGATTGAGGGGAACTTTATCTGATTCTCCATCAAATGGTATCTCTTCGAGGAAGTTTTGCAAGAGAAGTTTGCTGTGAAATATTTACAAGTGGTAGTCTCTTTATTTGAGATAGCTTGTATTTTTACCCTTTCCAGGTGAAATTGCTTGGTTAAAGAAGAAACTGAGACCATTTTGTGGCTTACAGTCAGGATCGAGGGGAAGTTTATCTAATTCTCCATCAAATGGTATCTCTTCGAGGAAGTTTTACAAGAGAAGTTTGTTGTGAAATA